TCTGTCTTTCTGTCTATCTGTCTGTCTGTCTGTCTGTCTGTCTGTCTGTCTGTCTGTCTAACATTTTATTCTCTATCCTTTCACAGTCGGACAAGCTCACAGCCAAGCAAACCTCATGCGCCTCAAAAGTGACCTTTTTAATAGGTCCCCGATGTACCCAGGCCCCACCAAGGACGACCCTCTGACCGTGACCTTAGGGTTCACCCTCCAGGACATTGTCAAGGTCGACTCATCCACGAACGAGGTGGACCTAGTCTACTACGAGCAGCAGAGATGGAAGCTCAACAGTCTCATGTGGGATCCAAACGAGTACGGTAACATCACCGACTTCAGGACGTCTGCGGCAGACATCTGGACACCTGACATCACTGCGTACAGTTCTACAAGACCTGTACAGGTCCTATCCCCGCAGATTGCTGTTGTCACCCACGACGGCTCTGTTATGTTTATTCCTGCCCAACGCCTCAGCTTCATGTGTGACCCGACTGGGGTAGACAGCGAGGAGGGGGTTACGTGTGCCGTGAAATTTGGCTCTTGGGTATACAGCGGGTTTGAAATAGACCTGAAAACGGACACAGACCAAGTGGATCTCAGCTCGTATTACGCAAGCTCCAAGTACGAGATTCTGTCAGCTACTCAGACCCGGCAAGTTCAGCACTACTCATGTTGCCCCGAGCCCTATATAGATGTCAATCTCGTTGTCAAGTTTCGCGAGAGGCGGGCAGGGAATGGCTTCTTCAGGAATCTCTTTGACTAAGTCCATTTTCCTGTTAAGTTTTCAAAGATGAGTGCAAATTTCTATTGTCGCTTTGTGCCCTTAGTCTAGAGTAAACTATTTGCTTTATTGCATCTCTTCAACTGAGACCGAGAAGTGGATATGTCGACCATGTTGGCCAAATGCCAGTCAGGTTTTTTTGTTTTTTCCCTCTTTTTTCTTTTTCATAGATGAATGCAGGTGATTTCCATCCTGTCTGAAAATCATTAACGATTCCATCAGAATTTTGGCCACAACTGCAGTTTACAAAATGTCTATGTCTCTGTGTTTCACGCGTGGATCAAAATCTTGCAACAGACGATCATTTACCGACGTCTGTGGTGTAGCGGTTTGGCGTTTCGCCGTCGCACACAGAAGATTCAAGTTTGCTTCTCGAGTTTGGAGAGTATTGCAGCTTTCTGTTAGAACGTTTTTTCCCTCTCAGTTCAGCCCGGATTGGCCTGCCTGGTAACGCTGATGCCTTCCTCTTAAATGATGTAATTCTTTTTAATGGGCTTAAAAAATTTACATTATAAGACAAAAGAAAAACAGAATATAGTAAGATTATGGAACATATCCATATTTTGTTTGCGAAGCAAAGATATCAGTTATTGCCATCTCTCTCTCTCTCTCTCTCTCTCTCTCTCTCTCTCTCAGCTGTCGAGGTTCTAGAACGAGTCTCCAGATATGAATAACTCATAATCTAATTCTTCATTAACCAGCCTCCTATTTTGTCAAACAATTTTCCCCGAAAAGGGAACAATAAATTTTATTTCTCTTTATTTCTGTTGTTTATTCCGTTCTTTTCTTCAGCCTTTTTCGTACCAACATCAATGAATCAGTGTGTCTTACAGTGTGTGTGTGTGTGTGTGTGTGTGTGTCTTACAATGTGTGTGTGTGTGTGTGTCTTACAG